GTTATCTTAAAACATACCGATTTTCAGTTAGGCTTGACTAAACCATTCCATGCAAGATCCAAAAGCTAGATTAAAGATTAACAGACTTTTCAGGCTCAAATAATTTATCTATATCACCATTAATTTAGCCTCATTATTTTACTGGCTTTTTATACACACACACACACACACACACACACACCTTTATTTTGTTGTGTGTGGGGTTTTTTTTTGTTGTTGTTGTTGTTTATGATGCTGAGGATCAAACCCAGTGCCTCACACATGTGAGGCAAGCACTAGACCACTGAGCCACAACCCCAGCCCAATATTGGCTTTTTATTTGTTTTTTTGATTGGTTGGGTTTGTTTTTGTTTTTTGGTACTGGGGATTGGACCCAGGGGTGCTTTACCATTGAGCTATATCCCCAGCTCTTTTTATTTTGAGACAGGGTCTTGCTAAATTGCTTAGGGCCTCTCTAAATCACTGAAGCTAGCCTCAAACTTGAGATCTCCCTACATCAGTCTCCTGAGTCAGTGGGATTACAGGTCCATGCCACCACACCCAGTCCTACTTTCTTTGTTATAACTGACATAAAAATTTAACTTACATATCTCAAGAAACAGTTTTCTAAAATTAGAGTGAAGTATGAAGATACCTGTGGTTACCTACCACAGTTTTTCCACAGCTAAAGAAATTTTGGAAAACAACCAATCTTTTGATAAAAGGACCTGTGCAAAACAAAAGAAAACAGAAGAGCAATAAGATGGGTAATTAGGGCCAAACATGTGTTACATAAGACAGTAAACTAAATAGTTTTGTCCAGCATATTAGGTCACAATTCTTGATTAATTTTTTTAGTTAAAGATCACACATGTTATATGATTTTTATACCAAAGAGATAGTTGCTTCAGTATTATAAAAATAATTTTCTTATCTATTCTGAAAGTTGCAATTTTTAAAATGTATAAAAATAAACTTATTAAAAGAAAAAAAGACAGTAAACTATTATATTAGATCAGCTATCACAATGAAACTATAGTCAGAGCTGGGTGTTACCAAGCTCAAGGCAAATTAATGTCTAATAAAACAACTTACTATTTACATTTTTGCAACGTCAGTCATGACTAGCATCTGGTGGCTCCTTATAACTAATAAACCAAACATAATATTGAAAACCCCATCCTGTGACTCAGTGGTAGAGCACTTGCCTACCATGTGTGAGGCACTGGGTTAGATTCTCAGCACCACATAAAAATAAATAAAGGATGGGGGCTGGGGTTGTGGCTCAGCGGTAGAGCACTTGCCTAGCATATGCAAGGCGCTGGGTTCAACCTCAGCACCACATAAATAAATAGATAAAATAAAGGTATAAATAAATAAATAAAGGCCCACCAAAAACTAATAAAATATTTTTTAAAAAAAGAAAGAAAGAAGGGGCTGGGGACGTGGCTCAAGCGGTAGCGTGCTCGCCTGGCATGCGTGCAGCCCAGGTTCAATCCTCAGCACCATATACAAACAAAGATGTTGTATCTGCCAAAAACTAGAAAATAAATATTAAAAATTCTCTCTGTCTCTCTCTCTCTCACCTCTCTTTTAAAAAAAAAGAAAAGAAAGAAAGAAAGAAAAAAAGAAAGAAAGAAAGACAGACCCATTAAAAAAAAATCATTCCTCATCAAATACAGTATACCCTGTCGATGAACTTGGAGATATCCAATGATGGGGGATGACTTGATAACTAAAATTTTAAAAAAGGAAAAAGTATTCAATAAATCAGAAAAAGGGAGCTTAATGTCTCTGACAGAAGCAACAGCTCTATTTTTCTGTTCATGCCACTGAGAATCAATTCTCTGCAAAATATATATGAACTATATATTTATTATTCCTAATTTAAGAATTGAATTCACTGTCTCTGCAAATCATGTCTAGAAATGTTCGTGAACTTACAACTAGAACTCAGAATGTCTCCCACAAACTTCTGCTGGGGCTGAAGAATTCAAATCAACACCAACACCCAGCTGCAGTTATTCCTGCAGTTATTAAGCCAGGAAAGGTAAGAACAAACTTCAATTTGCAGACATCTCTGATGTTAAAGTCTCATTTCTAACAAAGTTTCTCACAACAAATCACTCCACCTAATGGCAAATTTTGAAGCACTAATTAATATCTGACCTGTCTAAAGGCTGCAGGGCTGGGATAGAGAGGTAAAGAAATGGACATCTATCCCTATATTTACATAGTTCTAGTCTTCTGAAAAGACATAAACTTGTTTTATATAAACCATCTCACTACCTTGGGAGGTAGATAAAGAGTCAGGTTTCTGGAGAGAGAAATAAGAACAAAGGGATTAAGTGTCTTGTCCAGCAAGTTACAGTAAAAATAAAACTAGAACCCAGTTATTTATCCTACAAAATCTAAATAACCTGCCTTCCTTAGTTCATAAACTCAGTATAATATTTTAAAGTGCCTGAAAATTACCTCAAGCTAACAATACATATAATCAGAACACTAAACCAAAATTGAATATTTTGAGCAAGAAAGTACTGCTTAACCCAAATCAATAAGATGAACAAAATGGACTTAAAATACACAAGAAAAAAACAATGTCCATATTAGAGAGAATTTCCAAAGGTCTCTATTTATCTTATACCCTACTGTTCAAATTCTCTGCCAACGAACAAAGGGACCAGATATGCTTGCTATCTATAATTATATTCTAAACATATATCAAATCTCAAATATTCCAAGAGTTCCAATTAACAGTATACTGTACTCAAAAACCTTTTCCTCCAAAAATGATAGAGCAATGCATTATTTTGCTGCCTACACGGCACATTTCATGACAAAATTCAGATTTTTAAAAATCATTACCTTCACAGATTACTTAAAATTTTGCTCAATCCTTGTTATGTTTAGGCAAGATTCCTATTTCCACTCAAATATTCTTTGAACATGCAAAGGCTGCATTAAGATACTTCCTAAATTGACAAAAGAAGAGAACTAATCAACCCGGAAAACTCCCAAATTTCCAAAGCAGACAATTTGTATGAAGTCAGAGTAGCTACCATAATACTATGCTGAATGAAGCCCACAGAGTAACAACTGAGGTTACTTCTGCAACATGATGAAATTTACTTTTTAGCAAAATATGACTAGACTTAATTTTCAACTGTCAAAAGAGAAGTTGTTTTCCAAGATTTTAGGAACCCTGCTTACTGAAGCAATCTCAGAGCACTTTGCTTAATCCTTTCAAATCCCAAAGAATTTAACACAAGCCACAGAACACTGAAATGTCTATGCTCAAACTCCTAAAGGTTACTTTCCATGTGTCTGGCAAGCTGACAGCCATATGTACATCCAGCCTGAGGTGTCTTTTCTCAACAAAGCTAAAACCATGCTCTGCAACACAAATCTAAATACCAGGGAATCCAGAAACCTCCAACTAAATTTTACTTTGGGAGAAAAAGCCAATGACCCAGTAGCATTTATTCACCCTTTGAAAGAGTCAAAAGGCTCCATTTCTGCCACTTCAGGAGATAAGTATATATTCCTTCAGTCAGCCTGTAGTATGAGACTCAGATATTACATCACCCAATGCCTAAATACTGCCCCATTACCCAGAAAGCACCAGGATTATCTGATAAACTGCACTAAGGTATCCCTTCCTCCCTCTCTTATACACAGCCCTTGAATGTTATTGTCCCTGGACTCTCTCTTGCAGCTTCACAAAGACATATGCCCTGCATCTGCTGCAATCCCATTTCCATTCACTTTTGGTGCACTCCTCATGACCCTCTATGGCTCTTCTAACTGTCCACCCATCAGATAATTATGCTAGGAGGACAGATACATACCACACACCTATTCCAAACTTCAATGGGGCATTCGACTCTCCCTAACCCATTCTCCATCTACTGGTCATATAAAAAAAAAAAAATCAGTTTTCACGATCTCCCCAATTGTAGTAGCATAAACTTTGAAATATATATATGTAGTTTGATGCCCTCCGTTTTCTATTTACAACATTCTAGGATCCATATTCCCTGCCCCTTCGTTCTCAATTTCCAGTTTCTCTGAGTTTAGATGTAATGCTCTCTTTAGTTGGTTGTTTCCTGCCCCCAACTTCTGCACTCAGCCTTTCCTTATACTTTTAGTGACTTAAAAATTTTGGACCTTTCAAACTCTCAAGACTCATCCAGTCTCTCCCCACACTTCTATACCTTGGACTTCTGTACTCTCAAAAGCAACCTGTTTTCCTAACTCTCTCCAACCTAAATAGTTATTTTCTGTCCTAAACCTGGACATCCTACTTCCCCCCACCACCACCCCAATCCCATACACCTTGTCTAATCACAGACATGCCCACACACTTAACTACCTCACCCCCCCCTTTTCTATTAAAAGGTACTATGAATTCCTTTATACCCTCTACCCCAAAACATCCTGTCTTCTCCACTTCCTTCCCACTGTTCCCTGCCTACTCCCTTCTCCATTATGGTGCCCCAAACCTCCCTCCACCTATGATACTCCAGACCTGTACACCTTCCCTTCAACCTATTCCACCACCATCCCTACTGATTTCCTTCACACACACACACACACACACACACACACACACACACTTCTTTCCATACTTCCTGCCCCAGAAATATTTCCATCTGTCCCATCTCGCCTGCCACTCCAAGAACATTTCCCTCCTCCTTTCTGCCCACCACCTCACACCCTCTCCATCCTGCCCCACACACCTGTTCCTCCAGTGTCCCCACAACCTCCAAATTTCCCCTCCTACTGCTCCCCATTTTCATCCATTCTTCCCAAATGAACACCTTCCATCTCACTTCTGCTGCTTGTTAACTGCACCACATACACCCCACCCAGACAACTTCTCTCCATTCAAATTACCCTATCTCATTGTCCCTATTCACTCCCCAAACCCTGAAACTCGGTCCCTGCTCAATTACCCTCCCCCTTTCACCTCATACTCCTTTCCCCTGAGGATCAAACACCTGCCCATCTCCCCTCGAATGTCAACCCCCTCCTCTTTCCTCCCTACACACCTCCTGCCCAGCCACTCCTCTCGGGTTTCCTGGGGCCCCTGGGCCTACTCTCGAACACACCTCCTGCCTGAACACCTCGTTTCTTTCCGCACCACTCGAGACCCCCAGACGCCCTCCGGCCCTCCCTGGCTCCTCGCGCTCGGCCTGCCAGCCGCACTTCCCCCTACCGGGACCCCCTCTTCCACCATTCCCCTTCACGCCTCGGGTGGCCTTCCCGGTATCTGCCCCTCACMCGCAACGTTAACCTGGCATCGGCTTTCCATTTCTGCCTCGAGTCCCCTGTCTCCTCCTTCCACGGCCACCCCGTTCGCCCCTTGCCCTCCCAAAACCCCTCACAACCTCCTGAACCTCTACACGCTGTCCCCACCCGCCAGAATGTCCTCCATACCTCTCGCACTCGCCCTTGCCCCACGGGCCCCCCAAACCTACCCGAAGGCCCTCCACCCTCCACTGGGCTGGATCCCTGTACCCGCCACTCTCCTCCAATCTACCCACACCCTCGGCCCGGCCCCCAAGCCTCTCCCCCAGCTCCTGCCCCCAATGTCCTCCAACACCTGCCCGGAGCCCTCCAGCCGACCCAGAGCTCCCGGCGCCCGTCCCCCACGCTGCCCACGCCCTCCGGGTGCTCGGGGCCGGGACCCCATCCCCCGAAGGTGAGGAAGGCTGCCCGCTGCCATTCCCCGAAGMGACAGGGGCAACACGGCGGCGGCCACAATGCCGGAGCCGCGGGGCCGGGACTGCGCCCTGCTCCCCGCCTCGGCCGCCGCCGCCGCCGCCGCTGCTAAGGACGCACAACAAACAATGCGGGGCCCGGCCGGCACCGCCAACCGCCTCAACCGCCGCCTCAACCGCCGCCCGCCCGGGACGGCCCGCCGAGCAGGCGCCTGCCCCGCCGCAGCCTACCCGCGCCGCCGCGCTCTGCCCGCGCCCGGTCCCCGCTCCCTCTCCGCCGCCGCCGCCACCTCGTCCGCCCGCGTCTCCGACTCCTCAGCCCAGCGGCGGCGGCTGCGGCGGCTGCTGCCCTGGTGGCGCTCGCGGCTCCGGTCTCCGCTTCGGCGGCGGCGGCGGCGAGCACGTGACGCCGCCGAGCGCACCCATTGGCCGGGCCGGGGGGCGGGCCCGCGGCTGCTGGGGAACGGAAAGCCCGCCCCTCGCTCGCCGCGCGCCCCCTCCACGCGCGCTCTGCCGCACCTGAGAGCGCCGGCCAGCGCCCGCCGTCGCCGGGCCGCGCCGCCGCCTGCGCCAACTGCGCACCTGGGAGCGCGCAGGGAGCACGCGCTGGCGGCGGCCACAAGCACCTGTGAACCGGTGCTTACGTAAACTGCGTCCCCGCCTTCCTCCCTGCGCCAGGCCCCTACCCGCTGCAGCACCTGAGTCCTGCTGCGCTGGCGGCGTAACCGCTGGGGAGTGGAGACGGGATGCGGTGAGAGGCGAGTGAAATGTACGGAAACTTCGTAACTTCCGAAACTGGGAACAGCTCCCGCTGGAGGCGGTGAGCCAGCCTCCCTAGGCCGGGTGCCCCAGTGCGGGACGCTCCCCAGCCCCAGCGGCTACGCAGACGGAGTAAGCGCCGCATTGCTCCCCGGGTGGAGGAGGGGCAAACCAGAGCTTTGACCTGTTAAAAAGATTCGGATCCCCAGCCTCTGTTCCCTGCCCCCTTGCCAGCTGTGTGACCTTGGCCAAGTTATAAACCACTCTGAGCTTCAGTTTCCTCGTCCGGGAAACTAGGACAAGAATTCTGACTTAAGAGCTGTTGGGAATATGGTATAAAACAATAGTTGTGCATTCTCCCGGAACATACCAAGCACTGAACAGAAGTTGCCGCAATCACCTCTTCTACCCCCGCCTCTTCTGGACCTCCCCAGGAATTGAGTTTGGGCCCAGAATCTCCTTACAGTTGGGTTCAGACTTTGGATAACGCTTACCTACACTGTTCCAGGAGCTGTGCTGGAGGAGAAAAAAAGATTCATTCCTTTCGTTTGTTTGTTGAGGTCTAACCACATTGCCCAGGTTGGTCTCAAACTTGAGCTCAAGCCATCTTCCCACCTCAACTGCCCAAACAGCAGGGACTACAGGAGCTTGACACTGCGCCCAACAAATGTGCACTTTTTCTTTTACAGTTACTGGGTGGCACCTTCTTGGTGCCCAGCATTCTGCCGGCCAGTTCAGCCACCACGGAATATCTGCTGCGTGCCAGGCACTGTGTAAGGTGCTGGGATGCACTGACCAACGCAAGGTTCCCACCCTTGAACAATTCTTAGCCAGGGGCAAACTACGTGATCACCCAGTGCTAGAGCCAGACAGAGGAAAGACCTTCCAAGAAAGTCCCTGGGGATCCAGTCTCTTCTTTCTATCGTGCAAGGCTCCAATATTTTAATCTCTGCTTCATTCACAGAGTAAACGATTTCAACTGGAAAAAAAAAAAACGTTGGTGATCTGACCTTCATCTTCAAGACACACATCCTTCCCTTTGTCCCTCTTGTAGGCCAGCTTGACCCTTAGCCACACTGAACTACAAAACTATCCTTTGCATAGTATGCCCAGTCTGTGACATTCCTGAGCCCCTCCTGAGATAGCTGCAAGGCTCCAAATCCCCACTTTTGACCACCCATACCTTCCTTTATCCTCCTGAAAAGTTCCTGGGTATTCATATCAACCAGCTCTCTGGAACTCCTTGACTGTCTCAGACAAGTAGCCTAAACTCTCTTCACATAGCCCTCTTAAAAACCATGTACTCTTATGACTCTAGACTATCATTGTTTAGCTGTCTGTCTCCTCTCTGGATTGTGAACATCTTCAGGACAGAGTCATCTTTCTGCCTGAGTGAACTAAGGAAAACAAGAAGTGCCCAGGTGATGAGATCATTGAAGCTGGGTTTTGGAGGATGAACATAAGTCCACCAAGGGAGAAGAGATGCTGCAGTAGAAAGATCTAAGTTCACTGCACATTGGCTGTGTGACCTTCACAAATCTACGTGTTAGACCCCTTATCTGTCAAGTGACACATAATATTATCTACCTCAGAGGATTTTTATAAAGACCACATCAAGTACTTAGCAAAGTGTGCTGTGTAGTAAAAATTTTGATTTTTTAAAAATAGATGGAAGGGGGCTGGGGATGTGGCTCAAGCGGTAATGTGCTCACCTGGCATGCGCCAGGCGCTGGGTTCGATCCTCAGCACCCATAAAAATAAAATAAAGATGTTGTGTCCACCGAAAACTGAAAAAAAAAATAGATGGAAGGCATGACATTAAGGATTAATAGTATCTCTTATTTCAATATGTTTATTGTGTTTGTAAGCATGAATACTCATGACAAAAATATGCAAATGATACAAAAGCAAAGAAAGTTAAAAATTGTCTCTCTTCCTTTCTGCCCCTAACTCTATTTCCTCCACCCCAATCCCATGTCCCAGAGAGCTAGTGTTAAATTTTTCATGTCCCCATGGTACATGTCCAGAGAAATAAGAAAGTTACAGAAAATCATGTATCTATAATGTTTATATTGGATTCTGCATTGAAAAAAGAAAGAATTAAATACCAGTCACTACTAGTGTTTAATTGGGGTGGAAAGTAGAATTGGTGTGTAGGATACATATACACATATATTACCTTTTAACAATTTTATTGGAATATATATATCATAAAAGTATCGATGATTTTTAATAACTTTACTGAGAAGTGCAATATCAACACAAATCAGTTTCAGAATATTTATAATATTTATGGATCTCCCCAAGATTCCTTTTATCCCTTTACAATTCATTTCCATTCACACCCCCAGCCATAAGAAACCAACAATCTACTTTCTTTCTTTCTTTTTTGTTTGTTTTTGTTTTGTTTCACTTCATTTTATTTTGTTTTGTTGTGCTAGTGGTCCTGGGTAGTCAACCCAGGGCTAGGCAAGCACTCTACCACTGAGCTTCAGGCTGGCCTTGAACTTGCTATGCTCCTGCCTCAACCTCCCAAGTTTCCTTGGTTACAGACATGCACCACCATGGCTGATACCACTAATTTATTTTCTAACTGCTTTTTTGCCTTTTCTGAATATATTTGGTACATTTAAGGGAAAAAAAAAGAAAGAAAGAAAGAAACCTCAAACAGAGCTACTCATGGTGGTGCATGCTTATAATCCTATGGACTGGGGAGGCTGAGGCAGGTAGATCATAAGTTCAAGGCTAGCCTCAGCAATTTAGTAAGGCCCTAAGCAATTTGGCAAGAACCTAACTCAAAAGAAAAAAAAAAGAAAGAAAGAAAAGGGCCTGGGATGTAGCTCAGTAGTAAAGCGCCCCAGGTTTACAGTTCAAAAAAAAAAAAAAATAGGCCTGGACCTTTTAGAAAAAAAAAGATTAAAAGTATCACCTACCAATTCTACCCACTGATAATAATTACTGTTTTGTTTTGGGTTTTTTTGTTTGTTCTTTCACACGTGTTGGGGGGGTGCTGTATCAAGGATTGAACTCTGGGCACTCAGCCACCAAGCCACATCCCCAGCCCTATTTTGTATTTTATTTACAGACAGGGTCTCATTGAGTTGCTTAGTGCCTTGCTTTTGCTGAGGTTGGTCTTGAATTTGTGATCCTCTTGACTCAGCCTCCCTAGCCGCTGGGATCACAGACATGTGCCACCAATCCCAGCATAATCACCCTTAATATTTATATATGCAGTATTGTCCCAATAGTTTCTATGCATATAAATATCTTTTACAAAGTGGGATTATCACATACCTCCTGTTTTGATCTTTTTTCACTGCGTATAAAATAAATATACCTCTTTTGTGTATTTACTCTTTCTTTGTACTCTTCTGCATAATGTTGAGTCTTAAAAATTATTTAATTAAAACAAGTTCCCAGGGGAGGGGAGGGGAGGGGAGGGGGGATAGTAGAGAATAGGACAGACAGCAGAATACATCAGACACTAGAAAGGCAATWKGTCAATCAATGGAAGGGTAACTGATGTGATTCAGCAATCTGTATAYGGGGTAAAAKTGGGAGTTCATAACCCACTTGAATCAAACCGTGTAATATGATGTATTAAGAACTATGTAATATTTTGAAAGACCAATAATAATAAAAAAAAGAATGGTGTCCTAACTAGAATAAGATATTCCTTGCTTGTATAATTATTTAAAAATAGATTCTGCTGTCATGTATAACTAAAAACAACCAATAAATAAAACATTTAAACTTAAAAAAAAAAAAGTTCCCTATGGTGGGTATTTGAGTTCTTTCCGGTATTTCCATTATTATAAACAGGGGAAGGTAATGAGTGTTATAAAGCTCTTGAGCTCAAAATGCTTTGAAATCATACCTGAGTTCAAAGACCAGCAATCTATGATTCATCCAATCATTGCACAAAATATGTACTGAGAACCTACTAGGCACTTTTGTACACGATGGGTACAAAAGCAAACAGCCACACCGTCCCTGCCCTCATAGGGCTGGAGGCCAGTGGGTGAGAGAAACAAATTACCTGAATAATAATATTAAATGCCCACAAAGAAGCAAGTGACCAACTCCTACAGGAGAAAGCAGGGAAAAGTTTTCTGACTCTCAGAGAGGCAGGAGACATCTTTGGGGCACATGCTGGGCCCATCACTCTAAGCCATTCTTGCAAGGGCTCCTAGCAAGGGGAGGTGAACTGGCTCCCCTTACTGTGT